TCTCGTGGCTTGTACAAAAATATTTTAGAATAGATGGTGTGGAAAAACTACCAAGGAAAAATGTTATACGTGGTTATATAAATCATCTGCCAAATGTTTGCGATCAAATAATAGCTAATCGTGGCTGGGACAGTAGAGGGTGATAGAGTTTCTCACGGCCTTCCAGATGATCAATTTAGTTTTGAAATAAATTGATGATAAGTTGAAAAAAATCGATGAAAATGTAGCAACACACGCATCACCGGGGAATGGGATAATGAAGGTGTCTTTGTTGCTCTTGAATTTCTTTTCAACAGACGAATACAATTGAAGATGTACTTCTAGGAGGTTGTAGAGAATTTGACGGGCTATCAGAATCTCTATTTACTTTGTCAAAACGAATAATTTATAGTGATAACATATGGAAAATACCGAGTCTAGTTATTTTTGGCCAGAGGGATAGTGTATTTTTCGCATTTAAAATTTGGTGTCAAATCGAATACTTGGAATAAAAAATTTTACACCATTAGATAGTCCGTTCATCAAAGTATATTTTACAATATCTGAATCTTGAAAAAGCACACTTTTACTTTTTGGCTAAATGTCCGCCCGGATGCCCACTATGCCTGTGAGTTTCATCGAGAAGGTGACGTTTTCTACGTATGAAATATCGAACATTCACGCTTGAACTCTCGCCTATGAGGATAAATAATTAGATTTTGAATTCTCTGCACGTCAAACAGATCCGAATTGATCGTTACTAGATCTCGACAGTAATGAACGACAAAGGCGGAAATTTGTTTACATATTTTCAGCACAGTTGCTGTCGATGGTTCTACAGTTTTAACAGTTTTTTGTTTTGCGCTAAAATTTTCGCCGTAACATACTCATGTATCAGTCTTTGAATTCCGAGAATTTTGTTTAAACCGAATGCAAAATGTTGAAGAAAAAGGATTGCATGGCAAAGACACATTCAAGCTAAACTTTTAAAAACATAATAAACAACGTACACTCATCGTGAAGAGAAGTTTCTTTGGATGTGCTTGCTTTTTCAGATCAATTTCACTCCAACACTGCACTTTTGCTTCTGTATCCCAGTGGGCTTTTTCATCGAAAATCTAAAATAACCAATAGTCAATGACAATTTGTACATATTAAGAAGTTTTTGTTTGAAAATCTCACTTGCACTTGTCTCATTTGTGTTCGTGAGGGATAAGATGGTGACCTTGTTCGTATTTTCGCTTCACTATCCCAATGTACACTTTTGTGATATATCTAGAATATTCGTCTAAAGAATTAAGTAAGGAATCATGATTAATCGAAACTTACTTGTATTTTCGATTGTTGAGGTTGATAATGTATATTATCCCATGTTGTTGTTTTCAATTTGGGCTGTGCTCTCCATATGGGTTTCTCATCAAATATCTAAAAAAAAAGAAGAACTAATCTATAAGCTGGCACTTCGTCTAACTCACAATATTATCCGATGGCCTCAAACTGTAAGATGCATTTCCATAGAATATTTGTTTTAGTTTTGGTTCTGCATGCCATCCGTTTTGAGCATCATAGATCTGAAAACCAAACAAAAGCATATACTAATATGACTAACATGAAAGAGTAACAAAATACCTTTTTCTCTGTTTGTGCTTGTTGTTGTTGCTGCCTCTGTTGTTGTAGCTGCTCCTGTTGTATTAGTGATAATTGAGGATCATGTTGCCTTGGTGTGATGTTGACATGATCTCTAGTTACTTCTGCTAATTTCGATTCACTGTTCCATCTTGGAGTGCGGTTAAATATCTATAAAAAATCTATTCAATAATCATGTTTTGCCAAAGCAAACACTACAAATTCTCAATCTTACTTTGAATTCTCGTCTATACGGTTCATAATAAATGTTTTCAAATGAATAGGATTTCAGTTTTGATTGCGCATTCCATTGCAGCGATTCATTGAAAACCTGAAAGGTGAGGTGTTGATCGTAGATATTCAAATTAGAACCGAAATGACATATACATACTGTGGGCGTTCCATCAGGCAAACACCAAAGTCGGCCAAAAAGTTGCGGTGTTGACTCTTCCTAAAAGCGCATAAATTTTTCGTTAATTTAAGAAAGGACTTAGATTCAAAACACGTAGTTTCTGATACCTTCTGCACAGATTCTTCTGTAAGTTTTTCTTTTTCTTCTACGATTAGTTTTGGTTTTAGTTTAACCTTTGTTATACTCTTCTTTTTAATCTAAAACGAATAAATGTGAAAAAGAATGATACTATTACTATTCCGACTATACTTTTAATTTCTTCTTGGGAGGTACAATATGTTGTTGAAAATTATTATCCCAGCTTCCGGTATCTGAGTTGTTGCCATCGTGATCCTAGAAAATTCCCAAAAGAAAATCATTAATATGAAATCTTCCTTTTTACATTGTTCACAGTTACTTTTTTCTTTTTGACTGGCTTTATTATAATTTGTCTTGGCTGATATTCAAAATTTCCAAATGAATTTACTGTTGAATGAACATGTTTGTATTTGTCCTTTGGATCACTCTAGAACGTGTGATAAAAATACTGTTTCATTTACCAATAAACTGTTTCCTCAAAAGAAGTTGTGTATTGAAGTCTCTATCCAGTTTTGTACATACTTTTTTTTCTAATATTTCTTTTACTCTTTCCCTCCAGTTTGTCAGTAAGTGCCGTTTTTCGATTTCAAAATGTTCTCCACTCGAACATGACACTGTCCGATTCCGCTTGGTCCTGTTATTTGATCTTTCCTCTTGATTCACCAGTTTTCGTTCGTCTTCACTTTGATTGGCTGTAATTTTCTGAATGTAAACATCTTTTTTTAAACAAATTATTTCATGTAAAGTTTGTAAAGTTTGATACACTACCTACTTCGTCATCCTGAAAAGTCTTTTCTTCTACATCAAGCTCAGTGGATTTTAGACGATAATTTAAGTTTTTTGATTTTTTTCTTGGCATCAACGACAGTTCGGAATTTAGTTCACTTCGAGTCAAATGATGTTCAATTTTGTCATGTATCGATTTAAAAGTAGGTCTCACTGTTGTAGGCGATGATATTGGCGTATCATGATATTGGTTGGACGACTGTGAATGTAATTTGGGTTTAGTAAGTTTTTCTGAATAAAAAACGTAATTTTGATTATTATCTTCGAGTTGTGGTGATGATAGTGATGTTTGTTCGTCTTCATCATCATTTGATGATTTCGTTTGTCTTTGTACACTTTTCAGAATATCTGAATTTAAGAGAATATCATCTCTTATGAGGCTGGAGACTTGTCTGACTTGATCACTGCTTGTTGATATCGATTTTTCAGATGGTGGTGAACTTTGGATTTCCAATGGTCGTATCTTGTTTAGTGGTGAGTTTGACCCAGTACTCTTCACTAGTCTCTCCGGCTGTACATCAAGATTATCTTCTAAGGAATTCAAAGATGAAGTCGATGGAGGATGGGAGTGTTCTGTTTTGGACGGTGTATAACGTTGACTTGGAGTACTTATGTTTTTTTCATCATTTTGTCTGATGGTTGAATGCGGAGATTTGTTAGACTTCTTTTTTGTCTTTCGTGCTGTTGGTGATAGAAGAGGACTGGTTTTACCTTCAGATTCGATCTCTAAAGGAATTTGTTCTTTTTGTATATGTTTTGGAGCTATTGAAACTGTTTGTTCAATAGTACTTTTTCGATTTTGTTGAGCAAATATTGTGACAGTTGTTGTGGTAGTATTTTCATCTGTTGTTGTTTGCAATAAAATGGTGTTATTAACTGGTAATGTAGCAGCATCTCCACTATCGCCAGGTGAATTTGACATTATTGAATATTTTCTTCGGTTTATAATAGTCGGTGATTGATTACGGGATGGCGCTAATGAATTATTCGCTGAATTCACCAATTCGAATTCTTCTTCTTTGATAGTTCGTGGCACTGGCAACGAGCTGTTACTTACTGTTGACTGTGTTCGTTCAACTGAAGGATTGTTTTCGTGAGATAGTGGAATATTTTTAAGAAGATTGGCAATCGTCTGATTATTGTTTTGCTCATTTTCTGACATTAGACTATTATGTGAATATTTTCGTTCTAGTGGACTCGCATTCTGAAAATTATTTTTATTTTCATGCACATTAGAATTTTGTCGAGTAAATTGAGAATCATCATCCACTCGACTTCGGGATTTCAATCGAGATGACGTGGCAGAAGCATGCTTACTTATTGGTTCTGGAGTTGTGTGAGACACGGAAGACGTATTTAAATCATCACCCTTGAGTGCTCTGTCTGCCGTTGACGAGTTTAGCCTTTCACTGTTTTGAACTGAGGATGATAATCGTTTTTCCGATTGTCTCAGTGATGAATGAACATTCGATGAGTTTTTTCGAGATCGTTGCCTTTCGTCTAGTGGACTAGGTGAAGCTTCCTTCGCGTTAGTATTAGTTACGTGAGACGTTCGCGTCGTCGCAGGAGAATTCAGTCGTATATCTTGTGCACTTTCATTCTTTAACGAATCGACTAAATTTAGTTCTGCGGAATTACGTTTTTCTTGACTCGTCAATGACGGTCGCATATCAAGAAGTGATTTCTCGTGTGCTAATGGACTTTTAATGGCAGATGACTGAGATCGCGGATGATGACTTTTTGAACTCGTATGCCTACTGAAAACTTGTTTTTCTTGATTAGGCGATTCTTTACAGGACCTTGAAGATAACGGTCTACTAGAAGAACGTGTAAACGTCAAATCTTGATCGGTCATCGACTGTTGTAAGTTTTGTGCATAAGATTGTGTATCTTTTTCCATGACCATCGTCTCTAATTTAACATAACTGGTGGCTGATTGAGGTTTTAACGTTCTGTCTTGTTTAGAGTTTGCTATTAAAATGTTTTCATCGTCATCGGCAGTATAATGATTATTTTTAAATGCTGTCGTAACAGATGAACGCATATTTTCATCCGTTTCTTTTTTTTCTTCTTCATGTGCGTTCAATGTTGTATTATTTCTTTTAAATTGTTGTTGAATGGTAGAAAAATTATTTCTTTCTTCCACTTCTTCACCTTGTGGAAGAATAAGTGCATTGTTGCTACTTGAAGAGAAATAATCGGATTGTCCACCCATACCACCATCCATACCAGTCAAATCCGGATTATTGATAAAATTATTTGTGTCAAGAGAAATGATGTCTTCATCATCGTTACCAAAATCACTGAAAAAATAGGGTTGTTGAACTGGAATTGTATTGCTCGGCGTTACTGGCTTTGTCTCATGGACCTGTTCAACGTTATCCACCGGTACTACAAGTGGAGGTAAAAGTTTGATAGAAGGATTTTGAATTTTGTCTACAGTTTTTGCGCTTGAAATACTCAAACTATCGTCTTTCAAATCTTTTTTGGCTGGTGTATTGAGTAGAATTTCGTTATTTGACGGTTCAATAACAAGTGCTGAAATTCCGTGATTCTCATGTTTTGGTTCTTCAGTTGTTCCAATTAGTATTAATTTTTCTAAATTTTCTAAATATAAATCTTTGACATCAGCTAAATCTGTTAATGGACTATTTATAAGTGATCTAGCTACATCATAAATTTCATCGAGTATATCTTCTGTTTCATTTTCCAGCGTTGCACTTCCACCACCATACATATGTGCTGTTAACATCACACGACTTCTTGGTGAACTCGAACGATCACGTAAAAATTGATCAATAGTAAGTAATTCTAGATCATTACCTTCATTATTATTAAATGATTCAATATTTGTCTCATAAATATCGATATTTTCTGGATGATGTACAAGAATTTCAATTTCTTCAATTTCGGGACCGTAATGATAGATTTGTGTACCACTGGGACGTTCTTCATTAGAAATCAGGTTTTCCTTAATTGGAGAGTGATCAGTTTTATCTAAAAAAACAACAAAATTGCGTTATGCATTGTTGTTTATAAAAGAATTTAGTTTCAAGTGCAGTGCTACATGTCTCAAAGTTTTATATCCACCAAGATGTCTTTCCTATTCATTAATACTCACATGAATCTTTCTTTAAAATTGACAGATCATTTTCAATTTGTTGGTCATTGTTGTCATCGTTAATTATTCGTTCATTACGATTGTTAGCAGATGAAGATGATTCTACTGGCACCAGTTGATTTTCTCTACGCTCTGCTTCAATTACAACAGGCATATTATTATTTGTACTTGACGATTGTCGTGATGTTTTAAATTCACCAGTAAAACGTGGTATAACTTCATAGGCACGTTTTTGTTTCTGAGGCCATAATTGACTATCAGTCAACGATAAATTGTCTTTTGCTGATGTTGGTTGCGATAGTGAAGGCTTATTTTGATTATTATTGCTCTGTGATAAAACTGCTGAATGAGTGAATTTACCGAGAATGGGTGTTTGTCTGTTGGTGTCATCTTCTAGAATCTGAAGTGAATTAGACGTCATACAATATTAAAATAGAATTTGTATACAAAGCTTACATCAAGTTCAATAATAGATGAAAATCTTGTCGGCTGAGGAGCCGTATGCCTTAAATTCACTGTTGAATAACGTGATCTATTGTTTTCTAGTGATTCTAATTCCTTGTCTAAATCTGTTATTGATCGTTCAATATCATTTAATAGACGAAGTCGCATTTCATTTCCTGCATCCATACGTGATGCAATAGAGTCTTTTGTTACTTCACGGAATGGTATTGATGTATAGTGAGATGATGATGTTTCATGATCAAATAGACTGAATCGATTATTATTATTTTCGAGCAGGTGCTCTTCATTAAAAATGTTTGTGGTCGAGGGAGTAGAATAAACTGGTGGAACGTATGATCGTCTATGCATTGTAGGAAGCTGTACTTGAGGTGAATGATGAGTGCTAAACGTTGGCGATGTGAAAAGATCATGATTTAATTCCGGATTTTCTGCATCGAACAACGATGATGCATTATAAGTTGGAAACTGTTGATGTATGGCTGGTTCATAAATTTGAGGAGATTGTGAGGAGATTCGTCGTGTACGTGAATCGAACATATTCACATAGGGACTGTAAGTATAAGGGTTATTCGATTGTTGTCGAGTACGCGAATCATAATATAATAAATGTGCGTTTAAATTTGACGTTGAAGTTCGTCGATTGGTTGAGGGTGGAGTATACTGGTAGGGATTATTATTTCGATTCATAATACTATAATATACATGATTCTATAACTTTTTGCGCTATTTTCTCATCGCATCTTTCGAATGGAAAGACGTGTGGAGCTCGCGATTGTCTTATTTTGGGTACAAAAGTGTACTTAACAAAATTGTAGATCTCAGCGCTCTCTAAGTTCCTCAGTTATGCAAGTATATCGACAAAACGTAGACTGTGTTGAAAAAAAAGAAATTTTTAATATTTCAATTGAATATTTTCACAATATCTCCTCAATCAAGAATCTTATAGAACTCTGAGATCTGCCATTTTGTTAAGCACACTTTTGTGCCCAGAATGAGACAATCGCGAGCTGCATGCGTTTATCCGTTCGATATGTTCGACAAAATCACGTTTTCGATCAAGTTATGTGGAATGGACCATACGATACCTCTTATTCTACAAAATGTTTTTGATAGATGTCTTCATTAGGGGGGTATATTATTATTATTGCTATAACTCTTATGTCCCTCTAATAAACATCAAGATGTTATTTTTACCTGAGAATAATAATTTCTTCTGTTTTTTTGTGATGCTTCTATTAAACGGTATCACTTTAAAAAAAAATAACAATGTAACTTATTTTTCTCTTTCCCTCATTCAATTACTGATTGACAAGCGAATGCTTAATTTTCATTTTTTTTGTGCTGCAGCAACAATAAAACAAATGAAAAATGAAAAATCACTTTTTTATATTTTTAAAAATAAGAAATACAAGCGGCACACTTTTCTTTTCTTTTTTATTGTCTCTACAAACACGTATACTTCTGCTCATATTGTGTGTGAAAATGACAAGTACAAGTTTTGAAGATAATGTACATTAGAAAAATCTATAAGTAAATATTGAAGACATTTAATATAGGTGTCAGATTGGATTTAAACAATGAGAATTTGTAATGAGAATTTGCAAACAGCACTTGATGATACTAGAGAAAAACGATATTTCAACATTTAAGAGGACATTTATGTTCAAAATTAGAATCAGTTAATTCTCTCGTTCCCCCGAAAACAAAACAAGAGACCTTATTTCGTAGAAAAAATATAGCGTTTATTTTTATAAGGCCTCTCCCACTATGCAATTATCTTTGCCGTCTTACGTCCAACCTTGACGAACCTTTCAGGAACTTTTTGTCATGACAGAGCCGCTTTTTTATCTATAACTCTTATTGAGGTTTGGGCAAAACCCTAGGCAAAATGGAACTGTTCTTTTGCTGAGACTCCAAAACTTAAATTACCTCTATAGATCCAGAAATTACTATAATAATTAGAAAACACATATATCTCGATCCTGGTAGTGTCATTTTTTAAGTTTCTTGAATATTAAAACAGTTTCTATACCAAAAAAGCTCAGAAAACCTTTTAGGGATCTTCAGTGATCTCGCTGTGCATATTAAACAAAGTTTATTTCAAAAATCAAGCCCTTCAAGGACATAGTGAATTTCTTTTTCATCAAACAAAAACCAAAATTTGTGGTACGATGAAGTGGAACAAAGAAACATACCGAAGAGTACAAAAACAATGGAAAAAATCGATTTGGGAAAAAAGCAAATTAAGTTTTTAGACAACCTTAGACAAGTTTAAGAAGGTTCATATTATATACCGTTCGAAAGCTCTTCGGGAGCCCAACCCAGTGATGCATATTTCGACACATTTGCACACATATGCGGGCGCAAAATCAGACTTTTTATTCTTGTGAATGCTAAAATAGTGTTAGTCATCATTGGTGCAACTAGAATATTAGCGACCCACTTGTTGTTGGACCACAGCGAAAAATAAGCTCAGTCTATGACGCTTGGCCCAGTGAAACAAGCGGGTCGCTAATGCTTTAGTTGTGTCAATGTTCGTGACCGGATCTAGATAAACCCACATGTGCGAACACAGTTCTTACGTTTATTGTTGTTGCACAAGTTATTACTACGTGTGAATAAACCTTTTCATCAGATTTCTAGATTTATTTTCGATAACAAGCATTGCTACAAGATTCAGAAGGGTCGATAACCTATGTTTCCATCCATTTTTGAGGTCCTTCTCTCACACTCAAGGTCGATTGTAAGACTTCCAAGAAAACTGATACGCTCTGAAGACCACTATAGATGAAGAGATCAAGTTGATATGATTAGGTACAGGACACTTTGGACCATCTTTTTTGTATTGACTATGTTTGAGAGTTGGAAAAAGAGATATTCTAAATAGGGATGTTCGATTCTCGGTTCTCATGAAGAACCGGAGCCGCGGTTCGGTTCCGCATGAGGAACCGAAATCGCGGTTCTCTTATTTTTGATTCTTGATCGGGAATGGGAACCGCGGTTTTTTAGACGGTTCTATTTTTTCGGAACCGAGACTTTTTGAGTTGACCTTCGTTTAACAGAATGAAAACACAGTATTACCAAAGCTACAAAAAGGTATATTTGCCTGACATCATTAAAAGAATCCTTTCGTTTACATATAAAATGAATTCTATTTCGTTGAATTGATACTGCCTGAAAAATTGTTTTCGGTTCTAAGTTGAGAATCGAGAATCGTGGTTCTGTTCTAAGTTCGGAACCGGAACCACGCTTTCTTTCGTTTCGGTCCGTATGAGGAACCAAAACCGCGGTTCTTTTCGTTTCGGTTCTAACTCGAGAACCGAACATTCCTAATCGTAAATCAACGTGTTTTCTCAAAGATCTTCTAGGAATCGACTTTTCGAGATAAGAGAGTGGCCTTAATCGTATACAAAACTTGAATAGTAGATGAACTTTCGATCAGGGAAACATCACGTTAAACTACTCTTCGACTATGTAATGCTTCGGCGCTTTAGGAGAAGAGCTGTTAGGTATATTCACCTCTGAATTAAAAATAGCTTAAACCAGATGAACTAGACGACAACGGTTAGTTGTCTTTCATGCCAAAAGAAAACGTAGACGAATTTTGGGCAGATATAATGGACGACTTTGAACATATCGAGAGTTTTTATCACTTTTTGACTACGTAACAAGCACATGGATAGATGATGATGCGGTGTTAGAGATGTCGTTATGCAATTACAGTAAAACCTCTCTATATGCACTGTAAAAAATAAAGTGCTACAAAAAGTGTATTTTATGGAAACTGTTTTGCTATAAAGCGCATGGCTAAACATAGCTCAGGTATAGAGAAAATAAAACACTTTTGATCTGCTGTAAACTAGAGCACTTCGTGAAAAAACGCTCTTCAAAGTGATTGCAAAGAGAGCATTTTTAAAAATGTATGGTAGAAAGATGCTTTTGAAGTGATCCAAGAGAAAACAGTGTGACATGAAGTATTTTTTTGAAAAGACACTTTTCAAAGTCATGTTGACAAGTCATTCACCTGTTTTATTTTGCTATTACTACTAGTATATATATAACGCTGCTTTTCTTCGAATAACTTAGAAATTTTTCTCTTGAACGGCTATACAAGTCATCGAAGTTTGTCTCGAAGAAGTAGCCTTAGCCTATAGATTAGTATTAATGATAGTATCAGGCTTTTGAGACTGGTACTAAGAATAGTTCCATGGTTCAACGGAACCAAAAATTAACAAAATTACAAAATCATATTTATAAGTTCAAAATCAAATATAATGAAATTCGAGAAATGTCGTTCGAAAAAGTGGTCTAGAGAAAAGCACTTTCCAAAGCGATCTCTTGTGGCGCTGATCCTATTTGTAGCGGTCTTTGTTTGGTTTACATTTCAAGTGACCAAGCGGTTTGCAAGTGGTTTTCTTTAAAGCATTTTTCAGTGTTCTCCAGTCAAACTCTTCAAAAGCACCGCAAAACAAGACCGCTACAAATAAGATCAGCACCACTAGAGAGCGCTTCCTTTTTTTCAGTGTGGGCATCTTTTTATACTGGGTAGTCTTCGGTTCGACGGAGCGTTTTTTTGCTTGACTGGAACCCCTTCAAAGTGAGTATCTCCGTACTCTGGGCAGTGAACACTTTTTTTACAGTAGAGTCATATGGGATAATTCAGGCCACTTGTACAAAGTTTCGTAGTATTTTGCTTATTTCTAATGCGTGTTTCTTCAGATACTATTTTCTCACAAAAACTTAAGAAATTAATCAGAGTTTGTTGGCAAAATAAAGTTATAGCGCTGTAGATAGAAGAAATAAACAGTTATGTATTCCTTTCCTATTGGTGATCAGTCTCTTCAGTGACGTACCGGAATAAAAATCAAAAACCGTCCAGCATCCCCACCAGTGTAAAAATCTCGACCTGCGTTCCATCCCAGGGTTCTCACCCCTACGCGGAGCTCTATTATCTGTACAAGAAGATCGTTATAAATAAAATTTATTAGCATTCCATGTTTATGAAAGTGTTGAAAAAATTTTAAATCATAGATTAAAATAGCAATAGCAGAAATTTTTTCTTTTGTATACGATTAAAAAAATAAACGCTCTATGTTTTTCGACGAAATAAGAAGGCTCTTGTTTTGTTTTCGACAGAACGAGAGACCGAATTTCATGTTTTGCAGAAATTGAAAATCTGCACAAGTTCTTTAAAGATTCTACATCTTCAAAATTTTTGATCAAGATTTTGAAAAGATTTAATGAAGAAAATTATACTGTTGTTCTTTCTATCATCGTTTCTGTTTTGCAGTGCCCATGCATATATAAGAAACACTATGCACACTGTAAATAAATGAAAAATTACCAAGTCCGTTATATGGACATAACGTCTGATGGAACAGCTTCGATATTGTCTTAACAGTACGTAAGAGCCGTAAATTAAGAGCAGGACTGTTGGTCAGTACACTGTAAGGTTGGAAATTATTCATGAAAACTGCTCAGCGATTTTCAAAGATTACCTACAGGAAATACTCGAGGATTTTCCAGTTTATAGAAAATCGTCCTTGAATTTTCATAAATAATTTTCAAACTGCTGGGAATTCACCAAGGAATTTGCAGTTTATAGAAAATCGAAGTCGAATTTCTATAAATAATTCCCAAGAAGCTAGAAATTCTTTTTTCGTTTTCTATAAACTGGGTATTTCTTGGCGAGTCTGCACCGAGTGGCAGCGCGGCCAGGTTGTAGTGGGATTGACCCCGCTCCCTCATGCTTTTAAGAAATTTCCGATGAACGTCTCCAATTTTGGGATCTTCTTACCGAAACTTCGCGCCACCACTGTCTCTGTCTAAATCAAAGTTCTTGCTGACATAAGCAGAATTGCGATTTAAAGTGGAAACTGTTAAGGCTGATTTAAGTGTAATATAACTGTCTTTACGTGACGCTCTTATACCTACGCTGATTGCAAAACAAAAAGGTGAATAAGTAGTTAGTCACAAATTCCTGGGCGAAATTCCACTTTCTAGAAGATTGATCGAATTTCTATAAATAATTCCCAGGAAACTAGAAAATCCATGTCGAATTTCCAGTATATACAAAATCAAAAACGAAATTCCCCAGCAAATTTTGAGTCGATTTTCCATAAACTAGAAATTAATTCAAGATTATAGTGTACAGTACTGCAAAGCTAGCGCTGTAGAATATAATAGATAAAAGTTAAAAATAACTGAAAATAATACCTTACGAAGTCAAAAACGGCTCAAAGTTTCATCAAGGTTGAGTGCAGATATCGAAAGTCTGTCAAGATTCTGCTTGACTAACCAATGGCTAATCAATTAGTTTCTCAGAATTAGTTACATATCTTGATCAAGTTTGTTCAACGGAGATTCTGTAACAAAAATTATCGAAATCTTGAACTGCAAGATGATCTCAAGATTTTGACAGACGTCCAAAAATCTGCGTACGATCTTGAAGTAGTTGAGCAGAAATTTGAGAAATCTTAATCAAGATCTTGGTTCAAGATTTTTGACCTAGGAATCGAGAATCCATCTTAGAACCGTACGAATTTGATTGTAAAAACATCATTATTACTTTTGAATTATTTATTGAAGATTTTCTAAATTTCCTTTGAATCTTTTGTCGGGAGATGTCATCCAGAAGACTATCCAGCATTGGGTGTGAATAAAAAGAGACTAATCGATCCCTGGATATTGTAAATTAGAAAAAATTTGAGACTACCCTAGTCCACTTTCTCTGATGAAGTCACCGATGAATCCCCGAAAAAACGTGAAATCCGTAGGAAATTCTCAGGGGAGAAAATTCCCGGGGATTCCCTGTAAAATCCTTGATGAATCACTGATTTCCAAGGAGTGAGAAGAAATAATGAAGCCTCTGGTGATTCACACTGGTGGCTCTCTAGGGATTTCTTAGGGAGAATGTACAATATATTCACCGTTTTATTTTGCGTCCACAGAAGTATATAAAACGTGAAAGTTCACACAGGAACATCCCTTTTCTTTAGATTAATGTTTTCTTTTTTAGATAAGTATATCTGCTTCCGCTTGAGACTCATCGACGTTAAGTCATCGTTTTGACGTGAGTTAACTTTTCAAAGAGTGATTCGTCCACTGGACGAGCGTCACTGTATGGTTCATGTAAGAAAGAATTTTGGAACGACAGTGGTAGTTTTTCTTATATAAAATAAACGTCAATTTGGTAAAAAGTCGATGAAAAACAAGGTAAATTACGCTTAAAATTGAGCACAGGAGTCGAATTCAGTATTTATTCGTTTTGGAGAACTTCCTTAGGGATCCTTAGGGACCAGAGGTGGGCAAGTCCGACCATGTGCAAGTCCAAGTCAAGTGCAAGTTCGAGTCGAAGTTCTTGATATTTCTGCACTATACAGTACGTCCTAATTATATATGACGGGTAAATAAATTTTATCCATACATTGATGCATGTTTGACAAAAAAAGATTAATAAATTAGGTATCAGTTTATACTCAATCCGTTGTTGAATGTAAAAGATTTTAACTCCTTGGACTCAAAAGGACTAGCTAAAAAAATGTCCAAGTCAAGTCCAAGTCCATCAAAAAAACCTTCAAGTCCGGACTTGGACTTGCCCACCTCTGCTAGGGACTCCAACTAAACTTCTTGGGAAATCTGTCAGGTGAGGATTTTTCCAGGAAAAGTGGACTAGGGTAGATTATTGGAAAGGTTAAAGATTTTGTCTAAGGACGCTACTTTCTCGTTACTTGTCTAAGGAAAGGAAAGACTAGTAAAGTTTAAACTTCTATCTATTTGCATTCAACAACTTCTCTTCTCATCCCTGAGGAAAATCAATGGATTTTATTTTTGCACGAAAGAACGAAAAGTCTCATTTCATAGTGAATGTACTTGAGATCAGGTACTTAGCTACTTGCAAATTTTCTAAAGTACTTGGTTAAGCACTAGTCAGGCATTTTTAGATTTAATATGTGCCAAGTACTTGGAAGAACTTCAGATACTTGCATATATTTCGCAAGTACTTACCAAGTTACCTGCCAAATACTGGATGAAGTACTTATCTAGTATTTATACTTGTTAAATTAGTTGATAAGTACCTTTTTTACTTGCAAAAAACCCCAGGAACTTTGGACATTACTTACCGAAGTACTTTTCTAGGTACTTGACCTCAAGTACATTCACTAGGGCATGTACTTTATGAGCGATCGTACTCCATCAATATACCTGATCATTAGAACGAAATTACGCGTACACGATACACATATTCAGCATGCAGCGACAAGGCGCGATTTACACCTATAGAGGATGTCAGTTTCTGCACATGGTCCAAGTTTAATGTATGTGAGACTTTTTAGATTTATCACCAGTTAATGAATTCAGTTTTCCCATTTGTGTGTGTTATTATTCCAACACTTTTTGCTATTTTCATTGTATATTACACTAATATATTCAAGAATGTCAAAACTGAAATAGGCTTTGATCATTATGCCGAAAAACGGCATGCTAGTTTTCCATGGTATTTGGCAATGCCGGCTAATTCTATTGTGAACACATTTTATATTCTTATCGGTGTATATTGGTTATTTAAATCACGGCAGCTGCAACACAATTTGACAACTATGAAGTTATTTTCAGACATTTTTTCTTGGATGTCTATTGTTTATGGATTTGTTCAATGGTCACGAATTGCTACACAAACACATTTGACAGCTGTACTAGATCAATGGTTTACATTCCCAATATTCGCATGGGCAGCTATTTGGGCAATGACTATTCTCGATGGTTTCAGCCTTCAGAAAACGATATTATTTATATTACTAGCATTTTTATCTTATTTTTTGATATTTGTAACTAGTTATGGATTTGAAATAGCTCTTGGTTATCATATAATTCTTGCCGTATATTATGCCTTTCAACTTCAATATAAACATGGAAATAAACTATCAAGAATAAACTTATTATTAGCAGTACTTGCTTGTTGTGGATTTGTCGTCCTAAAATTACTTGATCATCAAATAGCAACATACAAAATATTTCAACGTTTTACTGGGCATTTTTGGTCTAAAATATGTGATGTAGCACAAATACATTATTCATTTGCTTTTTTTTACGCAATTTATTTAAATAAACAAAAAAAACCTCAATGAGATTTGTCTTAACGTTTCTTTACTAAATCTTTTCGACTAAGTTAGGAACATTTTATTTACCAAAACAAGACAAAAATTATGAATAGGAAATATTGCCTAACAAATAAACACTGTTCATTATCCTTATAGTAATTATTCCATTGGCAACATATCATTTGCTGCTAAATCACGGATAACATAGATGGACACCAGAAAGAATCCGACACTTTTAACAAAACTCCTAAATCAAACAATGCTTTGTAGTAGAATAATAATCAGGCATATACCCCACTTACCATTTAGCGGGATCATAATAAAAACTTTTAACAAAATCTAATTTTGACGGTGGAGAACGAGCTGAACGACGTGAATTTGATGATGAACCTTCAGATTGCATAAACATGATCAATTTATTTTCAAATGTTTATAAAGATCTAGAATAAACATCTTATGTTAGAATATTGATGTGTTGTAGAACAATATACAAGTAGATCATAATCGTCATAAAAGGAACTTTCTTGAAATCATCTTAATGTTATTAGTAGACAAAAATTCTTTCGAATTCATTACTTTCATAGGAAAAAAACTGAAAATAACAGTTACAAAAGAAAAACAACAACAGACATTTCCATTTCGCAACAATAGATTAACTAAGTAGTATTCTCGTTTTTTAAATACATTTGATTTTTTAATGATCTATGCCGATATTTATTAATTCGACGTTTATCTTGCCATTGCATTGCTTTACGATGTTTTGTGCGTAATGCCTAGAACATGTATAGTTGCTTTTTAACAATTGGTCGACATTTAGATTATTTACTGACTTCAGCAATTTCTTTTCGTTTTGTTGGCCAATTCCTTTCTAATTCGTTTAAATCATCTGTGCGTACAAAACTCTCAAGTCCTTCTACAAAAAGTATAAATATTCATGATAAGAAAATCTAAACAAATTTTTCTATCATTTTATTACCTTTTAATCGTGAATCAATATCAAAAAAGAAAAATGTTCTTTTTACACCATCATTATCCTTAGTTGACCTATAATAGTGATTAAAAAAAGGCTCCCTTAAATACATTTGCTTTTACTTCACATTGATTATTGCTTTTTACAGTAATAACTTTTGATAAACCGTCGTAAGGTATAAAACTTTGACTAGCTAATACTACTTACAATTTTTCATCATTTTCATTTTCATTTTCATTTTCTATGTGTGTTTCGTCGTCATTGGACATGTGTTCTGCTCCAAAAATATGTTTTCCTTTGCTCTTCGAACGTGAAAAAGACAGCGGTTCTAATAAATAAAAACTAGATTTAGAACAAACTTAGAAATAAACTAGAATATATTTAATATATACGTTCAATATCTACGAATGATGCCATTGGTGATGATGATGATGACACCTGAGAATTATTTAAAAAGTTAAATTGAAAATTGTCTTTGTTTTGTACTGATTTATTAAACATTGATTTTAACTTTGATGCATCGCATGTATGTGTTCGAATACTCTCTGTTTCTATAGTATTTAATGAATTTGCTGTTGTTTTTGGTGAACGCAATATTGACTTTGTTTCAATATCATTCTGAATTTTTTTTGTTGGCAGATTTGATTCAATTTCATAGATACGATGTTCAGTTTTTGTTGGATCAAATCGAACCATTTTTACTTGTTCTGTCCTAAATGTGTACTACAATTTAAAATTAATGTTCTCATTAGATACGTATGCATCAGTTATCTGGAAAAATGTTTATAACCCATTCATTACGAAACGTTTCATTTGCAGAGAAATGTTCAACTTACAATTTCGGAAATAGAAAAATTTCAAACTCAATTTTATTAAAAATATGAACATTGTAAAATATGGTAACTGTTGCATCAGTTCTTCTTAGCTATTCGTGTTTCTTTACAAATCTGTTTCTTTTTTATTAATTAAATTTTTTAATCAAACAGTTTTGTAGAGTGAACATCTCTGAAACTATTCATATATTCTGCGATTCTAAATGAATAACAGGATATATAGATAGCAACTTTTAATTAAGATATTTTTCACTTAAAATAATGTTCATTTTATCAAACGATCCAGAAGTTGGTAAACAAAAAACTATTTCATAACTACTATCTGTTTCCAAATAGAATGCAGTCGGATATTTTTTTAATAACTTTAGAACCAACAGAGCTAGTGAGTTGCAGTTTTTAGTTTTATAAACTAGATACCGAGACACATATATCTATGGAAGAATAAGGTTTACTCAATAAGGTTTACCATGGTAAGCCTTTCGAAGCAAAATGTCCGATCTTAGAGTTTACATAGTAATCTATACTCAAAAAGTGTCTATCATATAGAAGAAACTTAGTGCGGGTCATTGCCACAAGTTCCAATCTTTCATCTCTGATGGTTTATTAGCATGGGAATGTTTATTTTTGTCTCCAGTAAACATTCCCACGACGATCAGCATAGTTGATTGCCTATGTTTCAAGTATTTATTAGATTCCCACACTTGTCAGCTCTCGGAGAATGCCTGTAGCTCCTGGACCATCAGAGATGGAAGATTACTATGTAAACTCTAAGATCGGACATTTTGCTTCGAAAGGCTTACCATGGTAAACCTTATTGAGTAAAGCTTATTTTTCCATAGATATATGTGTCCCGGTATCTAGTTTATAAAACTAAAAACTGTAACTCACTAGCTCTGTTGGTTCTAAAGTTATTAAAAAAATATTCGACTGTATTCTATTTTGAAAGTGATAGTAGTGCGTATCTTGTTACCGTTTGCCTTGTGTAAATCTTACCTTTTTAACTTTTCAGCAGTTTGTTGTTTAATAGTCATACGATCTAAAATCGATAAAGCGCGTTTTTTCTCATCTTCCAATGAAAAGTCTTTTTCATCGTCGTTGACAGTTATTTCATCTAAACAAAGAAAAGACACATAATATTGTATCAGAAAAAATTGACTACGCTTGCATACCGTTGTTCTTTTCGTTATTGTCATTGTTTTTTTGAAGAAATTCTTCAGGTGATTTATCATATTGATCATTCGTAGACATACGTGTCTGTGATTTGAATAATTTTTGCACATCTTCCTTCTTCTCTTTAAAATGATCACTCAGTGATATCTGCTCCTTAGCGTCGTTATTAAATAATTTAACTTTTTTTTTTGTTTTATTTTCATCAGAATCAGAATCCAATATAACGCGCTTTGTTTTGTCATTCTCCTTAAATTATGAAACAGTTTTTAACTTTAAAAAACAAATAAAAAAACGTGTCTATATACTAGATTAGCAAGCGGTTGTTCAATCGATTCTTCATGTTCATCTGTTGATTTGTTTGAGCGTGCTGGTCGATCGTACAGAGATTTATCAGTATTTCCATCAGTATCTAATAATTCCCATTGTTCAGCTTCTTGTTTAAACTTTTCAATATTTGATTTTTTCTAAAAAGAGAAAAGAAATGAAATTAGAAATACTTTTAGATTTTTTTTATTCAAATCAACCGTTCAACTTAAGAGTTTCGTCTAACTATGATAACTATAAAAAAACTTACATGCACATACTTCGCTAAGACGTTTGACTTTCATTGATAAGTTTTTGTATTAGCTAATCGATATTCTAATCTAAAATCAGCCAACAAAACATGTTAATATCACACTTTTTTTATTCTACCGCTTTGTTAAGCATAAAGTTAAAAAAAAAGAAGTATTTCAAAATTGGTCGATCATAGATCAACATGTTTTAAATAGTGAATAAATAAGAAAAATATATTAAACTACCTATCGACTAGTTGCTAGGTGATGAAAGTTAGTTCTGAAAATATCTGGATTCATACACATACGTGTATAACAGATTATCAACTCATTCAGTAAATGTCAGAAATTCAAAAAAAAACATACATAGAAAAAAGGTTTTAATAAAGACTAGCGCTGTTAGATTCTCGAGTTAGAACCGGAACAAACAGAACTGCGATCCCGGTTCCGAACTGAGAACAGCTCTAAATTGAAAGAGCATTTAAAAGCTAAAATTGAAAAAGCATTTTTCAGGCAGTAACGATTTAATGCAATAGAATTTATTTTATCTGAAAACGAAAGAATTTTTTATTTTTAGGACAATGTTCTTGTATCTCATGTAAAAGAAGTTGCGCAGAAGCATATCGTACGAATACCAAACCTAACCTTTTCGAAATATCACTGTAGTATTTGTAGCTAAAAACGTCTCGTTTTCGAACAAAAGAAATCGTCTGAAAAAGCGCGGTTTCGGTTCTTCATGGAAACCGAGAACCGAACATTTTTAACAAAGACTTCCGTCTTTATAATAAATAAAATGGCAAAATCATTTTATTGTTGAAAGAACGTAAACTTTTCTCATAAATTAGATAATTTTCACAATATTACATTGTGTTGGATTGCGGTTCTGCATTATAAAAAAATGTTGAAAATGAACAGTATGTGAAAGAGAATATTCGTATAATAGCAGTAGAGTACAGAATTTACATTGAATAGAAAAGTAAATAAGAATGTGATTTATATCAACATATATGTAGACAAGAAAAAATATAGAATATCAAATCAAAAATACAGATGTAAATAAGAAAATAGATGATCAACATATTACATAAATATTTTACTTATTTTATCACAAGTGAACTATGAAAAATAATTTTCATTGTTTTAAAGATTAATTCGTTCACCTTTCACAAGACGCGACTTTAGCCTCCAGACATCCTAAACAAAAAGCAACACATTTAAATCAGAAATAGAAATATTGAAGAGATTAAGTATCTAAATAAAGATAACTCAAGATTCATTGTAGAATAATGCACTACGCTTATCTCTATCGATAAGCGCAGTACATTATTCTACATTGAAAAGTTTTTCGAAGAAGCATTGAAAAACAAGTAGTAATTAGCTCGTACTATGTACCTCAAATTTAGCATCTTCGACTCCTGTCTTTCTTTTAAATACGTTCAAAACTTCTTTGGATATTAAATCTTGTTTTGCATCACATTCAATATAATCACATTCTGAAGCTGCATAGTGGCAAGAAATAGCCTAAAAAATCGAAAATAATGTGATTTTACTTAACCAAATAACGAGATAACAATACAAACAAAATACATACTTTTCTAAAACCAGAAGTTTTATTTATCCCACTGCCATGGATGAGTAATGGATGAAAAAATACTGTATCACCTAAGAAGGAAAAAAATGATAAGTATATTTTATCCCTTATCTAATCGTGTGTGAGAAAACTTTTCAGTATTTGTTCGATGTTTACCTGCCCACATTTCTAAATGTTGTCTTGGAGCATTGGCATCAAATTGCTGTATACCATGGTACATTTTATTAACTCCACCCTACAAAACAAAAATATTTAGAAATGAGAAAAGATACAAATAAATGAGTAATCTTTCCAACAGCTTCTGATCCTCGTTTCAGTATACTATATGACAGTTATTAAGGGCCAAACAGTTACCAGAATTTTAAATAGCTTTCTTTTCAGTTCAGTCTTTCATCACGTTATTTTAATTTAATATAACATTTTATATATCTACCTCCCATTTCGGATACTCATGTACCAGTAATTCACCTTGATGACTACCAGGTAGAACAACTAAACAACCATTTTCTCTATGAATATGTTCCATTGCTGTCCAAGCACAAACTATACGATCAGCTGGACGAAACCTGAAATAAATCGCGGTCCCAAAATAGTTGAGAGATAGAAAATGAAAAGTTTACATACGGAAAATAATAGAGATCTTGATGTAAAGGATGGCGAGACGTTTTTGTACCTAAAATATCAAAAGTTTATTCAACATTTATCAACGACGTGTAAGTATCAGCATATACCAGGATCAGGAGGTTTATTAATCAGCATGGTGTGCATAGCCATACAATTTGGACCAGTAAAATCTTCGATATATTTAACAACCTACAAAAAAACCAAGACAACTGTTAAGCTCGTTAAATAAAATTATGAGTCTTTCTTTACTTCAGGTAAACAGCAATATTCAAATAATTCATCGTCTAATGTAAAATCTTGAAGTTTTGTTATTGCCTTCTCTCCATCAGCAAATTCTGATTTAGAGATGGCCACGTCCTTCATCACAGTCATTCCTGGTACTTTCACTTTTCCCATACAAACATCTTGAAATCTTCGTCTGCAGTGAATGAAATAAAATAGCAACCAAGAGAATTAAGCTACATTAAATAAATTATACCGAAATTTGTCTAAAGTTTCTTTTGATATCAAATTTCGAATAACAATATATCCATTTTTTTCATAGCATTGTCGTTCTTCTAGTGATAAACATCCATTGTCAAGTGTATAACGCAGCTGAGTCGATGATTCAACAACGGCCGGTTTCTGAAAGAAGAGTAGATAATAAACTATATGTATTTAATAGTTTTTAGAAAAAAATGTATTTACATATTGTGAACTAAGTCGAATATGTCGACCGATTGTTTCAAGACGTTGGGCAGACATCTTAAAGGTAAAGCAGAAAACAAATTTGATAAACAAATTCTATTTGAACCAGCGATAAGAAATGAACTTACCTTAAAAATAAGAGATCGACTTGTGATAAGTTTTAAAACTGTAACCATATTTATTTACACACACTTAACTAAAGACAAACTACAAAATAAACATCATCACCTCAGTAGCTCGGTGGTTCGTTCTCGCCATTCGTATCACCGACAAAATAGCCCAATCACTGTAAATTGTGTAACTAAATAAAGTGTGTGACAGCCAGTAAGAAAAGTCTGTGCCGCTGATTGGTCACACACTAAAGCATTTGAAGCACAAGGAAAAGTATGTGGCATCTAGCTTCATACATTAACCTTGGTTTCTTTTAGTCCCAAGGAGCCAGGATCAATGCGAATTGACTTAGGCAATCTCTCTTTGGCGCTACTATTTGGAGCTAAAGGGAAACAACGATGTATTATAGTGTGTCACATAAAACGACTTTTTTGATATTTTATGTGTTTTGTTGTTTTGTCAGAACAATTTTTTACTCATGTGTTGGTCACCGAGGAACGGGATGACCAGGGGACCAAAAAATGACCACGGCGGTAAGTGAGATGAGAGTGATTTTTAAAAGAGTTTAGCGGTTTACTCTGTCTAAAAACCGTTAGAGTGCACAATATACTACGAACCCTTACTCTTATGTAGGTGTAAACATTCTTCTTTTTTTGTCTGCTGATTATTTGTTCATGCGATAACCGATACTCCGCTGGCTCAATCTTCTCGCAGAAAAAAAGGATTAGTTTGCATTTTAGTTTTGTTTAGATCAGGTTTAATAAGTACATTAGCTTTAGCTTTTAACTTAATTCTTCAGGGCGTATATATACATTCTGAAGAATTTAGGTCAAAACAGGTGACCTACTGCATTTTTGGATGAGATATAATACGTAATAAATGATGACAAATCTATGATATATCTATATTTGAGAAAGATAAGGAGACCTTATGCGGTACTCTCTTTAGTATTAACACATAAATCGTATACTGGTTGTCCCGTATTCTAAGAGTGCATAACAGATTGATATGAGTGATTTTTTTCTGAAGGTGAACAAGAAAGAAAAAGAAGTATACAGTGAACAACTGAAGAAAACTTTTTTTTCTGACTTGGTCATAATCGAAAAGTCAACAGCAGAAGTCTACTTTTTTTGAATTAAATTTTGAACAAATTTTGGTGTAGATTTCCATAAAGACAATACACCATTGAAAGAGGCTTACATGTTAGCGCGCAAGTTTGCTGGTCTATTTGCTCGTATCGAGTATCGATTAGTGGCAAATCTTGATTTGGTTAAAAATCATAGTGTCAAACCATACTCGGAAGAATTAAGCCGAGTCAATTAAGCCGAGGTAGCTTCTTCTCGGTACATCCTGACTCATAGGACGCTGAACAATCTCTTGTCGCCAAAGTTATATTCGATCCTATTGCATCGACGTATCCAGGATTCCAGTAAGGAATGGGCCAAACCTTTTTTTGGCCAAACGAAACAGTAAAAAAAGTTCTTATGCAGTATTTTTATTTTCCATTTCAATCAAAATACTTTTTCTCTACTGTGAAATGAAGAAAACGACATTGCACCCTTGGCCAACTACGTCGCAGTCCTATTGCACATCCTGATGTGCTCTATTTAGAAGCACATTTTCATCGCACCGTCGCTGATTTAAATACTGAACACACTACTAGTTACATTCGCGCTTTATTCTTGCCGCGATCATATCGCAGCAAAGAAGGTTTCGAGTTCCCCGAAAAATTGGGGATTACGCAGCGAAAATTCTACCGCGTCCCGCTCGTGCTCCAAGACACGTCACGTTCGCTGTTCAGATTATGTTGCGGTCGCGATTCAAAACAAATCGCATCATGTTCGCGATTTACATTAGATTATATCGCGTTCGCGGTTCAGATCAGATCGTGCCGCGTTCCTGTCTTGGGTTACGTAACACGTCGCGCTCGCGATTCAGACAAAACATTTATATGTATACTTGTCTAATATTCTAAAAAGTGAAAGACTTTATATAGTACAGATCAGCCATGGGCTGATCCGAGTCTGCACTGGAAGATTTTTTGGCGGACTCGGACTGGAGATTTTTTATTTCGAGTCTGATCGATCGGTCAAGTTTTAACATAAATGAATACTAAAGTTTTTCTTTATTTTTATTGTTCTGAGTTCGATGCGATTCAAGGACGGTGTACACCTGTTCATTCAATATCACTGTGTGAAATATACATTATAATAGATTAGAAATATTACTCTCTCTAATAAATTTTAATTACTAGAGCAGCTTGTTGTAAGTGTATAATAACCGTTCGAATTGGACTATACAGTAGAAATTAAACATATGACTTTATGTCTAACATGTAAAGTTGTTATATAAACGAAAAGTGGAGATTAAAATACTTATTACCAGATAAGACTAGTCAAAAGAAAGAAGTAAAATATCTTGAGATATTAAAAGCTACAATATCATCATATACAAATATTCGATGGAATAGTCAATTTCATACAATAACAAAAGTTGTTCAAATCGGTATCGATAAATTGAATATTATTTTATATAAATTAAATAAATCTCAATTAATGTTAACACGACATAAAATAATAATCCATGAATTTATTTCATTAATGTATTTATGCAACGGACAGCAGTAGCAATCTCATCAATGACAACTTAAAACAAGATCGATTTTTAATTTTGTTCTGTCGTAGAATCTGTTACATAATTATAAACGAGAAAAAGTTTCATTTTTCTATGTCTAGAAATAGCACATCCAAAAACCTATAAGAAAAATTTTTTGTGGAGGTTCGGATGGCTTTCAGACCACATGTCCGTGTGTGATGATAATATGTAACGTAGTCTGAGTAGGTTGGCTATGTTGAGTAGGATGATTAGGATGCGTAGGTTGAACAGGTTTAGTTGGTTCAGGAGATTACGGATATTACGTGATCCAAGAAGATTGAGTAAGCTGAAGGCGGTTTCTTGGAGTTTCGATCACCATAATGCTAACTTTTTCTCAAATGAGCGATGAGAAAACAAATACGGCAGATGCCGATGCAGCCCACTGTAAATTTTGGCTTGGGGTCAACTTTTTTGAATGAATTTGAGCTAATTCGGAGTTAAAAATTAGTTTCCATCGATTTAATATGAAAACTTTTTAATTTGTTAGTGAGCGAAATTATTTTTTTTGCAAAAAAACTCCATTAAAATCAAATTTCGATTTTTTGTTCGTTTTTAAATTTATTTGAGTTAGTTTCGTAATTTTTATTTGATCTTCATTCAAAATGTATAATTAATCTGAATTAATTTTGATTGTTTTTTTAAAATCGACATGTTTCTGCATATACATAACAATATATTTATCTTGACATATATGTGCACACGTGAACGTCGAGAATTTGGGATTTTACTCAACACAGAGTCTGTGTCAGTTAACGCTTAGATTTGCTTCCAGTATTCAGTATATGAGCGGTGGAGCAGAGGGGAGAGGGGGTGCAGCAGTTTATTAAAGTTTATTTTATACCCAAAAAAACATCTCGTAAGAAAGGGAAGCACAAAAAACCAAAGACTTGTAAATACAGTGCCACCACGCGGAAAAGAGAAGAACCACGAGAGGAGATTATAAAAGAAGAATCAAATAACAAAAAGCAAGTAAACAGACAAAAGAACAACAACAACACACTTATATGGATAGGTGAGCGCGTAATGCTCGTTTTCAAAGTAGTAACTGTTTGACAGGATGCAGCTGTATTTGGCAGAGAATTCCAGTCAACAGCCGTACGGTAGAAAAAAGAAGAAGCAATATGTTCTTTCGATACTGTCGATGTCTCAACCTGCATACTATTATGATGGTTAGTATTCAAACGCTCTGATCTTTTGGCTGCTAATGGTTTTTTAAAAGGAGGATCGAAAACGGAGAGAGATGAGAGAAAATTTTTAACTTTGAAAAAATGTAATAACCGAAAATATTTCCGCCGTGTCATGTAGATAAATATGGTAGCTGTAGTTTGGTGATTAAAGAGATTACCGAATCTTCAAATTTTTTTATACGTCAGAGACGTAATCCTCAGATGTAGGAGATGCTTAGGTGCAATGTTTGGAACATTCCGGGAGTCTCTGGTAAAGATCCGTTTAGCTATCTTTAAAGCATGTATTTTGAGTAGCCTAGACTACGCTAGTGTAATTTACGACAGTAAATGGTATAAAGAAGATTTAGATCAAATCACTAAATTAGCTGCTCGTATGACGCCTAAAAAATTTGATGGTTCGGCAATCTCTTTGATCACCAAACTAAAGCTACCAGATTTATCTACACGACTTGTTTGAAAAGGCGCTAGTTCAATATCTCTTACTGGAAAATATCAGCCGTATTCCTAATCATAATTAACCGGTATTGGTTGTTGCTCTAGAGTTATTTTATTTGTGTCTATCTTTTATTGTTACTTTTATATACTCGTTGCATATCCTAGTCTCTTTTTCTTTTCTTTTGTTTATTTCTGTTATTATCTTTAGTTTTATTTATTTATTTTATTTTATTTATTTATTTTATTTTATTTATTTATTTTATTTTATTTATTTATTTTATTTTATTTATTTATTTTATTTTATTTATTTATTTTATTTTATTTATTTATTTTATTTTATTTATTTTATTTTTTTCCCTATCTCTTTTTATTCTGGTCTGAGTCATCGATATTACAGGTCACGGACCTTTGATGACTCTCGAGTGATTCGAAATAAAATAAATAACTTGTGTTCTTTTTTTTATTCAACTATTGCTGACTGGAATAATCTCCCAGAGTCAGTTATTTGTCTTTCTTCTTTAACCTCTTTCAAAATAGCTTTATGTCAGTATCTCTTCCAGTGAAACCTTTGTCAGTTAAGAATTTATATCTGTTCTTTTTTTGCTTACTTCTTTTTATTTTTATTTTTATTTTTTCAAAAATTTGTTCTATTTTCTAGTATTTCTGGTTCTAACCTTAGTTCTCTTATTTATTTTGTTCTTTTTTATTACTCTTTTTGTGTTGTTTGGCTTGATTCATTTATTACAGGTCGGTGACCTTTGATGGCTCTCTTACTTTTCGTGAATAAACAAATAAACAAAACGGCGGAAATATTTCCGGTTATTACATTTTCTCAAAGTTAAAAATTTTCTCTCATCTCTCTCCGTTCAGTGTTTCTAATGATTAGTGGTCCCCG